ATAAATTAAGAGAAGTCCTGGAAAATAATAATGAAATACTCACAGCCTTCTAGTATTTTTAAAATATTTCTCCACAACTTTTTAAGATGAACTGGGTAATACTAAGTGTATTTAGCAATCTTCTTAGAGTTCTTGGCAAGGGAAGGTAATTGTGTACGAGTACAAAGGTTTCACTTTTTCGATGGTATGTTTCCCGGTCGATGGTATCCGAAAGGTTTTTCTGCCAAGAGCATGGTATCCAAAAGGTTTACCCCTCCTCCACACGAGGTACGAGTATGATGGAGGAGCGGGGACTCATGGAAGAATTCACCCATCACTCCCCTCCATTAGTAAGCAGGGGTTGTTATACGGGGCGGTTAGCTGGGCCGGTGCGGCAACGCGACCAGAACATCATCCGTGGTAGAAACTCGGATATAACGAACTGATCGGGAATAGTGATGTAGCCAATTACACTGCAGTGATTGGGCTAGATGATGTGACCAAGCAGCCTTGGATGCCCTCTTACCGTAGGCCGTGCTTTGCACCAAACTCTGCTTGACGACCAAGCCAGTCAAGGTCGTTATGCACGGTATTTCGCTAAAGGAGCAACATTTGTTGTGAATGAGGTGCTGTAGAAATTTTGTTTCCGGTCCGAGTACAGGGCTGGGGTTGGGGGGATTCAAGATTGGGGCGTTTGTGGACAGTGCTAAAACCTATCCAGCACTGCCAGCGCCGGATCAACGTACCGCATTGTGCGGCGCTGGTACGTAAGCGTGCCAAGGTGGTGGCGTCCACCACCCCTGTTTGCTCGCAAGCTCGCAACCCAGGGCACTCCAGAGGAGTGCCCGCCATCTCAACGATAATTTCAGGCTCAACGATAATATTTTACTTTATGTGATACCGTTTACGTCCATACTTCCGGATCTCAACACATAAAGCCTTCAACAATTTCTTCCGAGATGCTCTAACATTGCGCATCTTTTTCCAACTACTTTTCACTTCCTTAAGTAGTGGTTGCTGCTCCGCACTCTGGGCCTTCTTCAGTGCAGACTCAGCTCGGCGTAGTGAGGCTTCAGCTTTTTGAAGTTCTACCTCCTCTTTCTGCTTTACCATATTGCGTGCCTCATGTGCATAAAGCACCCCCCCTCTTTGCACAATTTGCCGTGACTTTTGTCTCGCTGCCCTTGCCTTTTCTGCCGCTTTCGTATTTGCGAGATCAGTGACTGCCTGGCCCCCAGAAATTGACTGTACTATTTCACCTTTTAATACAAGGTCAAGTTTCTGCTGAAAAGTAGGAGAGAAATTTGCTGCTGCAGTTCTTAGATCTTCTCCTTGTTGCTTTAAAGACCGAATTGTGAGAGAGGTATGCGGGAACTTGGGGGAGGAGGGTGGAGGTGTTGTAGGTAAGGTTTTTGACAATTGAGACTCCCGTAACTTCATAAGTACCACATCAGGATTGAATGGTACCAGGCGGCCCGTAGCGCGAAAGGCAGAGCGAACCATAGATAGCTTAAACGTTTGTTGTCGAATAGAGTCAATAGCGGTTAGAAATTCAACCCCATCGAAGTCAGTACATCCAGTCCGAGTAGCTGCTTCTATTGCCTCCGTATGATAGTACTTATAGGGCTGGAAAACGACAACATCGAGTGGTTGTAATAAATGACTTGAGTGGGGAGGTAGGCAGAATGGGATAATTTTGAAACTATCACAAGCCACTGCAGACTCAAATAATCATTTGAGTATCCAGTATCGGAAACAGAGAGGAAGTAATCGTCTGGTATATCAGTATCAGTATACCAATGCTCCTGATGAATTATCCCAGGGACAATTATCATAGGCGGTAAAACATAACCATCGGCAGAGATCGTTTCGCAAATGGTAATAAGCTCTCGACTGGTAGAGCTTCCCAAATAAGCTTGCCGACTAGTATCGCGAGTTACTATCCACTGATCTCATCCAATTCCTATTCGGAATCCGGTCTCATCAAGATTACACTTGTCACAAGTTTGAATACTATGGTCATCACAAAGTCTTCGATAGCGGGTGAACCAATCTGAAATCGAGTCCAGATTGTGCGAGTTTTTGCGGTCTGCATCGATTGTATACTGCTTTCGGACAAAGTACTGGGGATTTCACTCAAGAAACCGCCGGGATCAGTGCTCACCAACTATTGGTACTGGTACTGTACGATCAACATGTTCTGCACAAAGAATTGCATTCGCACAACCGGTGATCATATGCAATTGAGCTGAGGTTCCGATGGTGTCTAATCTGTCTAGGTACTGACAAACACCCAGCTCTTCCTCTGCTGACAGCTTCCTATTTGCTGCCAGTCTTTTTTCTCTGGATTCACGCCCATTCCAGCGAGCTTGGAACCGTTGGGGTGGAAGGTCAAACTCTCGTGCCACTGCTGCCAGGTTGGGATTTTACTCTCCACGTTCTAATACTACCTTGATCGCTTCGAGAATTTGAGATTCTACTGAATTGTATGGCTCTTTCTGCTCGGCTGTATTCGTGGGTGGCATAACTGGACTGTATTGTGATAGAAACTTGTGATTTCTCTTGGAGAATGGTGTCAATTATTCTTGAGCATGAAATTATCGTTGAGATGGCGGGCACTCCTCTGGAGTGCCCTGGGTTGCGAGCTTGCGAGCAAACAGGGGTGGTGGACGCCACCACCTTGGCACAATTACCAGGGAAATAAGTCACCGTTCTGGCAGCTGGTACCGTACTCGTATCCGACATGGGGGCTGAGCAAGTTCCCTCTTGGCGGGAAAATGGGAAACTAGGGGTAAGTTGACATTCATACGGCACCACGGTCCAACCCTTCTCAGAGCCCGCTAGCAAGACCCATCTGCCTTTTAAATTTGATTCAATACCTACTTTTTCTCGGCTTAACTAACGGATTTTTGCAGCAAGTGAGACATCGGAGAGAAAATGGACTCAATAGTGCATCAAACCCTAGGCGCGACCTACAACAACAGTAGCTACTGTGGGAATGTCGAGAACAGCAACAATAATAATTTTGCAAACTACATCATCGACAATAGTCACAACAGCTTTGAGAACTACAACATATCCATGTCCGATGAGAAACGCCGGGTTCTTGAGTGGCTATCTCCTCTGACATCACGGAACAGGCATCAGACCGTTCGTAACGCCCGAGCGGATGGGGTGGGAGACTGGCTGATTGACACAGACATCTTTTCTGCATGGAGCGCATTGGAGGATAGGGCGGCAAAGCCTGTCCTGTTATGCTATGGAGACCCAGGGGTCGGGAAAACATTTATCACGTATGAACCGCCGTAGCCCCCCAGTGAGGGTAATGCTAAAAAAACAGCACAGCTCTCTTGTCATTGACACGCTTTGCAATGAGGTTGGTGGAGTTGATGTGGCCGTCGCTTATGTGTACTGCGACTTCGGCACTCGGAATGTGCAATCCGCGGCCACGGTATTGGGATCGGTATTGAGGCAGGTTGTTGGGACTTTGGCGCGGGTGCCGGGTGAAGTACAGGAGGCTTTTGAGAAGGCGAAAAGCCAGTCTGACGGCTGCGGGCTCCGGCTTCCCCAGATGCGCGAGATGCTCATCAAGTCCCTGTCTGGCTTAAAACGGGGCGTTATCTGTATCGACGCTATGGATGAGTTCCCGTTGAGGCATAGGCCTGAACTTTGGGAATCTTTACGGCATGTTGTCCGGGAGAGCCCCAACGCTCGGCTATTCATTACCGGAAGGCCTCACGTACGCGACGAAGTAGGGAGATATTTCGCCAGAACTGCTGAGATGTTGCCGATAAGCCCCCCTCAGCATGACATCAAATTGTATCTTGAGATGAGGCTGAGCCGAGATCCTGAGATGGATGCGATGGACGAGCGGTTGCGAGCCGATATTCTCAGAGTTATTCCGGAAACGATCTCAAGAATGTATGTATTGCCCTAAGGTTTGAATTCCATTGATTGGGCTAACTCTGATTTTTTAGATTTCTCCTTGTACGCATCAACATGGACGCAATTCTTGAGGAGCCGACCATCCATCGGAGGAGACAAGCACTTCAGCTGATGACCAGTAGCCTTGGTTTACAGGAAGCGTACAACAGGACAATGGATCGGATAAGGCAACAGGGTGGAAGCAAATCTAGATTCGGGATGGAAGCGCTGATGTGGACTTCCTACTGTGAACGGCCGTTGAAATCGGAGGAGCTATGTCATGCTCTCGGGGTAGAATTAGGCACAGGAGACATTTGCATCGATAATGTACCTTCAATACGGAGCATACTGGCCTGCACGTTAGGACTTATTGCCATTGACAAAGAGGGATCGACTGTCCGTCTCCTACATCACACACTTCAAGAGTATCTGGGAGAACGACCTACGTTGTTCGTATCCGCTCACTCGATGATGGCAGAAATCTGCCTCACCTATTTGACCTCGCCAACAGTAGGGGCACTACCACCAGACCCCGATAAGGCCCAAGTAACACTACCGTTTCTTGAATATGCCATATGTTTCTGGGGGACCCATGCAGCTCGGGAGGTGACTGAGGGGGTGAAATCGCGGTCGCTGCGACTGCTTGAGGGGTACGAGCACCATCCCTCTGCCATCGTTCTCTGGCGAAAGAGGATACGGCGTAGGTACTCTGTGGGGGAAGTTAAGGGAATTACTGGTCTACATTGTATCGCGTTTTTGGGAATCCCAGAAATTGCGATTGCTATGTTGGAGACGAAAAGATGGGACGTGAATGGGCAAGATTCAGAAGGGGATACACCCTTAATGTGGGCCGCAAGATATAGAAATGACAGGGTAGCAGAGTTGTTTCTGGGGCAGGGGGATATCGAACCCAACAAGGCTGTTCTAGATGGCCGCACAGCATTCTCGCTTGCTGTGCAGGAGGGCAATGAAGGCATGGTCAGCCTATTTCTAAAACACTCAGCTGTCAATCCCGACACCCCGGATGTGGATGGGGGAACACCCCTTTCACATGCAGTTGCATCGCAGGATTTTGACAATCAGGGTATCCTAAAACTGCTTCTGGAAAGTGCTGATGTCAATCCCGATTCATTAGATTCAGATGGGCGAACACCCTTATCATTTGCTGCGCAGTATGGATATACAGATGCGGTGAAGCTACTGTTGAAACGGGCCGATGTCGACCCTAATTCAATAGACAAAATGGGCCTAACACCCCTATTACACGCTATTAGTGATCCGGAATGTGTGTCGGATGATGTAGTGCAGCTGCTTCTGGGCAGTGGGAATATTAATCCCGACCTACCGGATAACAACGGCCGAACACCCTTATCGTTTGCTGCCGAGCGTGAACGTGAACATGTAGTGGAGCAACTTTTAGAACGCCCGGATGTCAATCCCACTTCGGCAGATAATAAAGGCCTGACACCTCTATCATATGCTTCCGATTGCAAGATGGAGTGCGAGCTGGAGTCCGAGCTGGATTGCGGGCTGGCTGGTATAAGAGAAATGCTTCTTGAAAGACTTTCTGGGCCCGGGGTTGTCAATCCTAATGCGCCTGATGGAAACGGCCGAACCCTCCTATCATTTTCTGCAGAGTGGGGATATGTAGAGGTAATCCAGCGACTTCTGCAACGCGAGGGTATTGATCCAGATTCAGCGGATATTAATGGTCGAACACCCCTATCATATGCTGCTGGTAGTTGGTGCGGAAGGGATGTTCTGGAAATGTTTCTGAACCGCAAGGATATCGATCGCGATTCAGCGGATATTAATGGTCGAACACCCCTATCATATGCTGCCTCGGTGGGGGATTGTGATGCAGTGGAGTTACTTTTGGACTGCGAGGGTGTCGACCCTAATTCCTCGGATAATCATGGCCGAACAACCCTATCCTACGCTGCCGGAGCTAGGTCGGGGGCAGCAGATAGTGTGAAGCTGTTTTTGGACCGCGGTGGTGTCAATCCCGATTCACTAGATATCAATGGCCGAACACCCATATCATACGCTGCCGAGGAGGGGGGATGGCAGGCGGTAAAACTCCTTCTCAACCGCGGGGGTGTCAATCCTGATTCACGCGATATCAATGGGCGAACACCCCTA